CACCTGCAGGTAGGTCCTGTCTGGGTGCTTACTTTGCACCTCTGCTCTGCGAGAAGACCCAATTCCCCCTCAGCTCCCCCAAAGGGCACTTAGAACATCCAAGGAGGAAGCACAAGTTGTATTCCCTGTACTCAGACAAGGCCTTACCACTGTGAGTTGTCCATTTCTGTCCCTGAAGACCTGTGGCTCCTGCCCCACGGCAAACACCACGGTCCCCTCCTTCCCCGAGCCGATGCGGAAGCGCAGGCTGCAAGCACAGAGACAGCCAGCAGTGCTTTCCTCTCTCCTCTCCAAGAGGCTTTGCTCTAAACCCCCTTTATTCCTCTTCCCTTGGCCAATCTCCTTAGATTAGAAGCTCTGAGCCCTCCAGCTTAGCTACATTTCCTAACCAATTGCATTATCCCAACCCAGCCAAAAGGGTTTGATGAATGGAACTCTCCTGCCTGGCTCAGCCTTTGCAATGTTCCTGCTGCAATTAAGCATTAGAAGCTAAGCAGATCTGACCTGGAGAAAAAGCACTGAACACACCGAATCTAATTACAGCTGAAAGGCAAAGGCCAGAGAGAAAAGCTAGAGCAGAAGTGCAGGTTGCACATGCCAACTCCAATCGTGGGAGACACACTGCAGCCACCTGCCCTGAGCTCAGCCACTGGCAGGATCCTGCTCCCTGCACTCACATTTTGGCCCTCCCCAAGCCTTTTGGGAGAGCAACACTTAGCCTGAGGTGACCCCCAGCTTTCCAGCTGGCTTTGCTCAGAGCTGGGGCTAATGAGGTCCCTTGTGAGACCACTAAAGCCACAACCTTCACCCCCTACCCCACAGGTCACAGCAGCAGGAACCTGGAAAAAGGTGGTTTTAAAGGACAGTCACCTAGGAACAGGTTTGGGGGTTAGGCACTTGGGGCATGGGCAGCCCTTAGAGCTGAGCAGCACATACAGCAAGGTGCAACCACCATGGGAGCAAAGCTTATTAGCCTGGGAAAAACCTGGGGAAAGGTTGGGATAATTGTTAATGGATTTTTCTCTCAGTGCATCCCATTTTGCCTCTCCATGGAAGCCACAAAAAATAAGGGTGCTGCTGCACCAGCCCTGGCCAGCTTCAGGCACTGCCTGCTGGGGTGGTGGCAATAGTCTTAACCTAAAAGGTTTTGAAGCAGAATATTCCATGCCCTAGAGCCTGCACATCCTCCTTCCTTCCTTACCTTCCCTTCACAATCTTAACCAGGCTTTCCTTGTTGGACAACATGCAGAGCTTTGTCACTGTCTCGAAGACGTGTTCACACTGCAGGATCACATCTCCCTGGAATAAAAAACAAGATGGATAAGGTCACCTGGAGAAAAGGAGGCTCAGGGGGAAGATTCTCTCTCTCTACACTGCCAGGAGAGGAGGTGCAGCCAAGTGGGGTCAGGCTCTAAGGGACAGGACAAGAGGAAACAGCCTCAGACTGTGCCAGGGGAGGTTCAGGTTGGACATCAGGAGGAATTTCTCCATGGAAAGGGCTGTCAGACATTGGAATGTGCTGCCCAGGGAGGAGGTGGAGTCACCATCCCTGGAGGAGTTCAAAGAATGACTGGACATGGCACTAAATTTAGTTGACAAGGTGGTGATGGGCCACAGGTTGGACTCTATGGTCTTGGAGCTCTTTTCCAACCTGAATGATTCTGTGACTCTAAGTGAAAACTTTCATGGTGAGACAGCAAGAATCAAAGTCTGGCTGACTACACAGTTAATCAACATCAGTAACTGTGTAATTCCAGGATTTTACAGGGAGATATCAGAAGCACTGGCCACAACACCTCACTACCAAGCACAGCTCACAGGAGCTAGACCAGTTTTCTACCTTCTGTTTGTTGTCATCTGGAACATGAATGACTATGATCCCATCACTCAGGTTACTGGTGGAGATGCCTTCAAAAGAAAGCCAAGAATTAGAGGAAAACCTGTCAAAACCAATTCCACACCACCCTCAGCACCTTCCCCCAGGGACAGTGACCTCAGCCCCACGTGGTTAGGGAGGAAGTTACCTCTGTCTCCCTCTGAAAGGATCTCCCTGTGCTTAGAGCAAAACACAGCAAAGTTCCTACTTTGATTAATTAATCTAAGCTTTCCAAATCACTTTGTCAACCGCTTGTCCATAATACATTTTCAACAGTGATGATTTCAGCCACCATCAGCTGTTTATTCTGGACCTTTCCACCTTTCCTACCTTGGATTTGGTGATGGAAGAGGAAGAAAATAGTTCTGCCAATGGCAGGATTGAAAAATACCTCCAAACCAGGGTAGGAAAGGTTTTGCTTGTCTC